ACGCTTAAAGTGAATAACATAACATATGGGATTAATTGAAATAGAGTCCGGGCCGACCCCCAAACTCCACTTTTTGACGACACACAACTATGTTGTAGTAAAAATATTATCTTAACTTGATGATGGTATGCACAAACAATTAATAATTAAGAGAAATATCAATAATATTAGGTTTTCTAACACTTACATTAGTAGAAAAGATGGCTGGGCACACGGGGATGGGCGGTTGGTTCCAAGGCAGAGGGCAGATTATTGGCCCTCACCTGTATCACTTGTATCAATTGTATCACTATCCACCATAGAGGCTTGCAGGGCCTCTTTGTCAAACCCCTCAAAGTCCATATAAGTCCATATCTTCACTATAATTATCACTATCACTGACTTGGGCCGGCTGTGGTAGGTGGCGGGTGAAGAACTCTGTAATGTTTTGATGACTGGGCGACCTTGTGCGCACCATGCTCGCGCAGCTTACACATGGCGGATGGCGGGAGAGATGGCGGGAGGTTTGAATCCAAAAATGGCGCGGCTCGCCAGCCGTTCTCCGCGTAAAGGGGTACACGCACCGCGGAATGTGAGCATTCCTGTTTGACAGAATTACCCGCGTAAGCGTGGAAAAAGCAGCGGAATAATAGGTTGGCGATAAGCGGTGACTTAATGTTATTATTATTATTATTATTATTATTATTATTATTATTTATTATTATTATTATTATTATTTATTATTATTTATTATTATTTATAATTATAATTATTATTATAATTATTATTATAATTATTATTATTATTATTATTATTATTATTATAATTATAATTATTATTATTATTATTATTATTATTATTATTATTATTATAATTATAATTATAATTATTATTATAATTATTATTATAATTATTATTATTATTATTATTATTATTATTATTATTATTATTATTATTACAGTTGTACCCCACTTAACGCGGTCAATTGAACCCAGAGGGTCCCGCGTTATGTGAAAACCGCGTTAAGTGAATAACAGAACATATGGGATTAATTCCAATGGAACCCAGCCCGACCCCCAAACTCCACTTTTTGACGACAAATAACTATGTTGTAGTAAAAATTCTATCTTAACTTTATGGTGGCATGAAAAACAAGTAATATAAAAGAGGTTAGGTTAGGAAAGATAAAGGTTAACATAGGAAAAATAAAGAATAGGTTAAAAAACGAAAATTTTTGAGGAACACTCACGGTAGTAGAAGAGATGGGTCGGCATACGGGGATGGAGGCTGGTCCGAGGCAGAGGGCAGATTACTGCCCCTCAGGTGAATCACCATTACTAGGTGAATCACCATTACTAGGTGAATCAATATCACTGTCACTTACAGTTGTCATGGCTTCCCTGACAAATCCCTCAAAATCAACTTCACTATCACTATCACTGGCTTGGGCTGGCTGTGGTGGGTTGCGGGCGAAGAACTCGGTTATGCTTTGCTGACGGCTGGCTTTGATGTTGTCATGATACACCGTGATGTACGGCTCCATAGCCTGCACCAGTCGGTTATGGAAGACGTCATGGCGTTCATCGTCAGTGTCGCGGGAAACGATGGACTTAATTTTTTCTGTTAACTCTATGACACACTTAATATCACTATGACTTAAACTAGGTTCTTCGGAGAATGACGCACCTTCTTCCTCCTCTTCACTGGCGGGTTCTTCTTCCAACATCTCGTCGGCAGTCACTTCAGGATCTCTGATCACCTCCATGATGTCTTCGTTGGTGGTCTCGGAGAAGCCTTCAGCTGTAATACTGAGCGCAGCTTCTCTGGCAAGGTCCACTGCTACTGCAACAGTCTGAACCTGACCAGTCACAGGTTCACTCCTCCTCTCACCTGGTATGCCATGCAACACATGTCTCCATGCGTGACGAATCGTAGCAATAGACAGCAGATCCCATGCCTCCACCAAGAAGTCTACAGCTTGTTTGACGTTAAACTTCTTCCAAAATTGTTTGACGAGAAGTTCTTGAGTCGCCGCCTCTTGTTCCTTGTCCTCGTCGCTTTTACTCTCGCTGTCGGTGTCACCCAGCTTACGCAACTCATCCTTGGTGTTGGTAGAGTCGTTCAGGAGCTTGAATTTCTTTGCCGAGTATGCAGCTTTAACATTGCAGATTAACTCCTGGTCCATGGGCTGGATTAATGACGTAGTGTTGGGAGGAAGGAAGACCACTTTTACGTTGGGGTGACGATCCATAAGTAGGGGCGAGTGTCCAGGTGCGTTGTCAAGGAGCAACAAAATATTGAAAGGAACATTCTGTTGCTCGCAGAATTTCTGCACGTCAGGAACAAAACAGTTGTCAAACCAGAAGAGGGACAGAGAAGAGGACATCCACGCCTTACGTGCGGTTAGCCAGTGGACATTAAGCTTGTTCATGTCCATATTCTTGTAGGCGTGCGGCTTGCGGGCTTTGTGAATCACCGATAACTTTGGTTTACAGGTACCGGAGGCATTGGTGGTAAACAGGACGGTGATGCGTTCCTTCTGCATCTTCCGGCCCCTTACCTTGCTCGCAGACTGGACAACGAAGGTCTTGGAAGGTAACTTTTTCCAGAAAAGACCAGATTCGTCCATGTTAAACACCTGGTCGTCAGTGTACTGTCCTTCCTCCATAATCTCACGTAAAAACGGAGGAAAATCTCTAGCCGCCGCACGGTCAGCACTCGCTTCCTCACCAACAATGCTGATGTTGGTGACCTTGTTCCTCCTCTTAAACCTATGCAGCCAACCATGGGAAGCATTGAAGGGTTTGGGCTCTGCAATTCCCAGTTTACGTGTCACTGCTGCGTATAGCTCACGTGCGTACTCCTGCACTGAGCGCGTGTCCACCGCCATGTTGCGTCGCGCCTGACGCACCAAATAACTCACCAGCAAAGTTTCCACTTTTGCCAGCACCCTGTTCTGGCAATACCTGATAGCTGAAGCACCTGCAGACTTTGTGAGCTTCATGTGCTCCTTTATCTTGGCTGCATCCTTCTTTATTGTACGAATCGTAGATTCGTTGACGCCATGCTGGCGCGCGAGATCAACTTAGCGTCTTCCTTTCTCCAAATCTTGAACAATTTGGTACTTCAGCTCGTAGCTTAATGAACGTCGTGTCTTCTTTGGTTTAGTGCCGCTGGGTCCAGGTAAGGAAAGGTTTCTCTCTGGGGGTGGTGGTCCGGCGGAAGCCATTTTACGGAACAATGGATGCGCGTTAACCCGGCGTGGCCTTGAGGGATGAAACTGCCGCGGCTAGATCAAGCGTCGTCTCTCCTCCCTCCCTCCCTCCCCGGGGTAGTCACGTCATAATACTTTAAGCCAATTACAGCTAACAGCAGAGGGGGGTAGGGCTGCATGGCCAATCACAGTCCGAGACGTCATATGACGTCAGTGATAACGCAACAAAGACACACACTGCGCAACCTTACCGCGCCGCTTATGGCGGAGGCGGTAGTGGTAGGCGGGCGGGTGGCGTGGTAGCGTGGTCAAATCTAAAAATAGCATCCGAGCCGGACACTCACGGCGTTAAGCCAATTACAGCTAGCAGCAGAAGATAGCCAGCCAAGGCACCGCGAGCGCGAAACGCTATGAAAGCGCTAAGCGGGTAATACTGTATATTTATTATATTTATTGTTGTTGTTGTTTCGCCTCAGGCCCTGATGTGGTCAGTGACCTGTGTCCGGTGCTAATTTTAAAAAAAAAAAGGAGAGAGAGAGAGAGGAGAGAGAGAGAGAGAGAGAGAGAGAGAGAAGTGAACTGATAAATAAACCTTAATTCTTTCTTAATTTAAGATGATTAGCCCACCTGCATAGGTCATTCCCACATTAGATTCCGAGGGCAAAATTTAATACTCCTGTAATAATAATAATAATTCAGATAAAAAAAAAAAGGAAAGCTGCCTATCTACCTATTGGACAAACTAAAATCGTTCCGGACCACAGAATGCCGGACTAGAGAGGTACAACCTGTATATATATATATATATATATATATATATATATATATATATATATATATATATATATATATATATATATATATATATATATATATATATATTATATATATATATATATATATATATATATATATATATATATATATATATATATATATATATATATATATATATATATATATATATATATATATATATATATATATATATATATATATATATCATGTAGATCCACAATGAAAACGTGGATAAGATAAATCTTGATAAAATCACCCGGGAAAAGGGAAATAATGGAGCACCTTAGTCTTCGTCTTTATTCAAGACATCTTCAGAGGCAACTGAAGATATTGCCTCTGAAGATGGAGGCGAATTAAACGCTTAGGTGTTGAGGAGCTTATCGCTTGGCAACACTGGTGTATGTTACACTCCGTTCCAATCCATCTCTCTAATCACCCACTCCTTTCTGCTTTCTCACTCCATATTTTAAGATATGTAATGTCATGTTGAAGGGATACAACTTTGCTCTTTTATACTTATACTTATCACAGTTTCCCCCAAAATTCTTCAGCTTTCATGTTTATTTATAACATCTTCAGGTCATGTGACCCACTAATCCCCCACCCAAGAAAGGGTGACCTAACATTCCATCAGAAGGTCAGTAATATGAGACCACTAATCCCTCACCTTACCTCCACCTAAGATTGAGCCAGGTCAGGTCAAGTCAAGTCCGGTCCCCCCAAAATACTTGAACTTTCATGTTTATTCAAGACATTTTCAGAAATTTTTGTTGATTTTCAACCTCGGAAAATTTGCTCCTAAAGCTGGAAATTTTGGTAAGATTCCGGCATTGGGAATGATTTTCCGAGCAAATTTCAATTTCAGCTATCGGAGATTTCCGGGTTTGAGGGATTCAGGCTAACGGAGATATCACTATATATATATATACAAAGTTTTTAGGTTAGATTACTATATATTTTCTCTCCCTGTGTGATACTGACTCACTGTTTTCTCACTTTCTAATTACAGTAAATGAAGATACTTGCATCGTAGAGCGACTCTTTTCAAGCAGTCTGGTGGCAGTAGTCAGTTTATCTTCGCCACGAAAACTAAAAGTGTGCCATTTCAAGAAAAATTCTGAAATATGTAACTACAGTTATCCCAACACCATCTTGGCAGTCAAGCTGAACCGCGCGGTTAGTAAGCTTGTGTAGTGTGTATTTGCTTTCTAAACTTCCCTCTTATGGTTTCTCTCCCCCACTTTGTTCTCTAATCTCTAACTTCCTTGAGAACTGATCCATGGCAGTTGTTGTCAAGGGATCGATCTCTTGCTCTTTCTCTACCAATAGTGGTGTCTCACAGGGTTCTGTTCTTTCACCTACTTTCTTCTATATTTTTATCAATGATTTACTTCACACAACAACTAATTCTATCCATTCTTACGCTGATGATTCTACTCTTCACTCTTCTTCACATTTTCCTCTTCCCCATAATTCTCAAACTAGATCTGTTTCTAGAGCTGATATCATTACATCTATCAATGCAGACCTGTGCAGCATCTCCGAATGGGGAGATAGAAACTTGGTGTTAAATTCAATAGTAATAAAACTCAGTATTTACCAATTACACTTTCCAAATTAAATGGTCTCCCACCAATCACATTTCAAGATGCTATCATTCTGCCAAATTCTAAAATAGATATGCTAGGCCTCACCATTTCCTCTAGTAGGTCATAGAAGCCACACATCCTCAACATTGCCAAAGCTGCCTCCCAAAAGCTGGGAATGCTGTACAAATGCCGTAGCTACTTCAATCCTGAGCAGTTGCTTCAAGTTTATAATGGATTCATTCGTCCTAACTTGGCGTACTGCTCTCATATCTGGGGTGGCTCTTCTTCTGTCCAACTCTTAGATAAGGTGGAATCAAAGGCATTTCGTCTTATTAACTCTCCTCCTTTAGTTGATAATCTTTCTTACCTTTCTCTTCGCCGCACTGTTGCTTTACTCTCTCTTTTACAGGTACTTTAACGGGCAATGTACTGCCGGCAAGGCCGTGGGCTCGTAACACTCGTCTTGCCCGCGGTGCCCACCGTTTCTTTGTGGATGTCGGTCACACTAGAATAACCCGTTATAGTACAGTACATCGTTCTTTCCCCCACACAGCCAAACTGTGGAATGCTCTGCCTTCTTCTGTTTCCATACTCATACAATCTGTCTCACTTAAAAAAAAATGTTTTTCCGGCATCTTCTCGGTGTAGATTAACATAACCTTTTTCTTTTCTATTTTTAATTTCTTTTTCCTCTTATTTTTTCTCCCCATATGCCCTGTTGTGGGTTGATGACCTGTGCCCAGGTGGGTTAATTCCCTTAAAAAAAAAATTATTTGGATTTTAACCTGTTGCTTATCTTCATGTGATAGAAACTAAATAGCAAAACTTGAAATAAGAAGCTACTTTGTGAAGAATTCCACCATTTAATTTGGCTACCAGATGAATGAATTGTGATTGATCCACCGAACTATACTGTTTTTAATTGTTGTAGTTTGTATTTTAACTGTTTGTCATTGTTAAGATACTTTCTCTTATTTTCCTGACAGAGACTGGTGGTATGCTTAGAAGAGTCCTTATACATCCACAACATACGAGATATGAAGGTTCTACACACAATCCGAGACACGCCCCCTAATCCCACGGGTCTGTGTGCTCTATCCATTAGTAATGACAATTGTTACCTGGCTTACCCAGGGTCCAATACAATAGGTCAAGTGCAGATCTTCGATGCTCAAAATTTGGTAAGGATGAATTATATTGTTAGTGTAAGTTTATTATTTGTAGAGAAAAATTACTTATACAGTATACTGTATTATCTTATTTATTTATTTATTGTAGATAAAGTTACTTACACTTGTGTATCAGGAATCTGAAAGGCATTTGGAAAGTAAATAATTTGGGAAATTTGATATATCAACTCTAAGTATTCTTAATTTTTTATGTCAAAACATTATGGCTTGTGTGACAACTACTGTTTGCACACACAATTATTAATTAATTGTTGAAAGAAAAAATGGAGTCTTACCTCTTCTTACTTTCTATCCTACGAATTCACCTTTCTCCTAACAGTACTCTCAGACACACTGCTTATAGTAGGAAGGATTTAGGAGTCTCTAATAAAGTTCTATGAAGACTTCAACCAGCTGTTCATTGAAGCGCCGAGGTACTTGGATGGAAGGTATAAATAAAAACCCAATATTTTGAATCTTGTTGGATGTGTTCTTCCTCTGGGTGTGTATACAGTACCGCTCTGGCTGTGTACCAGGCCTCAGGCCTACGTCTCGACACAAAGCGCGGGAACCAATCTTGTTTGACACGTCACGCTTAAGTAACATAATAGTTTAATGTATACTCGTTTAACTCAGTGTTATTTCTTATTACATGTTAAAATACAATGGTAATCGATTACAGGCAATGACCGTTGTACGATGAGGCTAGAGAACTCAAAAAGCCATCGCTAAGTGATCGATCGTATATTGATACAGTATTAATAACTTATGGGGAAAAGTTCCCTCCTTGAGGCCCTGAAGAGCCCAAACGAGTTTTATATCCTGCTGCTAAAATGATTAAATAATGTCTAAATAACTCAAATGGTTTATAGATATACAAAATCAATAAATTTATGCAAAATAAAGACAAAAACAATAAATTTATAAGAAGAGAAGAATTTTTTCATTTACCTTACAGTATATGAACGCGTGTATGTGGACTTGGCAGGTCGAAAAGTTAGATATCACCGTTGCTACATTGAATTACCTCTCCTACCAGCCGTAGCTGTGTTATTGTTATTTTTCAACTCGTAATTTCGAGTAGATATGCGTAATTTTCTTCAATTTCAATTTTACTCTGTTACATGCATATACAATTGTTCATGAGAATGGGCCCCCCAAAAATATATATTATAATGTTTAAAACATAAAGGGAATAAATATTTTTAACATCCCGGGAGGGGGGGGGTATTGGTATTGCGTCCTCCAAAGCTGTGATTGTGTTATTGTTATTTTTCATCATATTTTCTGGTAGATATACGTAATTTTCATTTACTCTGTTACTTGAACACACAATTGTTCATATAGAATGTGATTTTTTTTTATTTTAAGGTAAAAAAAATAAAAGGGATAAAAATTTTTTTGCGTCCACGGGAGTAAGTGTGCTGATTATGGGAGAGGCAGAAGGGAGGAGCGGTGAGGGACGTAAGAGGCAGAAGGGAAGAGCGGTGAGGGGCTGAGCTCATCCTCCCTTACTGGGCCAAACTACAGCTGTGTTAGTGTTATTTTTCAACTTGTAATTTCAGGTAGATATGCGTAATTTTCTTCAATTTCAATTTTACTCTGTTACATGCATATACAATTGTTCATGAGAATACAAAATTTTCTTATTTTTTTTTACTATGTTACATGCACACACAATAAATCATATGTAGTGTGCAAAAAACATAAAAAATCATAAGGTCAAAACATAAAAGGATTAAACATTTATTATGTATGTGGGAGCTAGCACAAGAGAGTGAGGCAGAGGTGTTCTATCATGGCTCTGCTGTCTCGTGCTAGTGAGGAAATTGCTAAATGGCATTGGATTACTTTTTTCTTTTCTTTTATTCATTATTATTATTTTTATTTGTTCCTCACATCTACTGATAAAGCATACAGTGACCCCTCGTTTAACGAAAGCCTTGGTTAACGAAATTTCGGTTAACGAACTGCCTTCCATAAGGATCTTCAATTCGGTTAACGAACAAAAATTCGGTTAACGAATTTCTTACGAACCGACCTCAACATGTTTTCGCTTGCACTGACCGGGCAACCAGCTTTAGTATCAGTCCGTCAATACATTAATCGGTTCTAGGGCTTAAATTCCTTACTATTTTAGTAATTATCAAGAAGTTTATACTATTCAATAATTTTAAAAGTTTAATATTCAATTTTTTAGTCATTTTAACAATTATTGAACATAATTGAAGGTAAAGTGACTAGTTTAATGCGCGGCATCCAGCCTCTTAACACAACAAACAGGCGTTAGTCTCTCTCTGTTTTCACTGGAGGTAACATCTTGCTTGAGACTCTCTTCAACTAACCGCTTTTTTCTGTGTTTCCAAGCAAATTATTGGTCATTTTGAAATATATTTTACATATTGACAATATATAATGCAGTGCAGTGTTGATTTAAAGAAAATAATCTTGAAATACACCAAGAGAACTAAAATTTTATGGGTGAAATGGTGCCATGGGGTGACTTCTCTTCCACCCCAATGCCTTCTCTTCTTCCTACTCCTCCACCCCCATTCTAATTCCCATCACCATCTTCATCATCATCCAGGAGCCTTCTACATACACACCTCAAAGTAAGTGAACTTTTCTACCATTTTTGTTGAATTTAGGAAATTTTCGGTGAGCTGGAACCAATTACCCAAAACCCATTGAAACAATGGTTTCGGTTAACGAACTTTTCGGTTAATGAACGACCTTCTGGAACGGATTGAGTTCGTTAACCGAGGGGTCACTGTATATTATTTTATGTACAAAGAATAGCTTCTTCCATATGCAAACCATCCTCTAGGCAATGTGAAATGTTCAACTGCTTAGCCTGGCAATGACTGGGGAGGGCAGAAAATCCCGCGTGGGTCGCATGTGTCACGTCATTCCGAGATTGCGTCATCATATCTTGGAATATTGCGAGTTATTGCAGGAAAAGCATTTGGGTAGCGACCATCGTAAAACGGATCTTTAGTCATTGCATAGTGGTAAATGGTGTTAATTTTTTTACATCGTAAAACTGAGCGAGCGAATATTGATCCATCATATAATGGTCATTGCCTGTATTAGTTTATTTATATAAACTAATTTACTAGATTTAAAGTAAATGACGAGAATAGTCAACTCGTTTCAACCCTGTGAACCATTTGATGGCCACTCATGTTCGTCATACTAATTATTTATAATAGTAATATACCCTCATAGCCCGGAAGATAAATGGGGAAATTTCCCTTGACCCCAAAATGTCGATAGTAGTTTTTTCTCTTTTGATTCATAGTCTATAGTGTCTCTGTAAATATTTCCAGGTGGGTGTGGAGCTCTCTCCCTTGGGCAACTTGAGATATTGATGATTATTTAGAGGTATACCCTTAGTATATTAAATTTCAAATATTTTAATCAAACTGACTGATGAAATACGAACATTTACTCATTTTATTGGCATGGAGGTATGAAATAACAATGAGTTTCACTCATATATCATCAGATGTATTGTCTCATAAACATCCTTGTTTTATAGCCATTGTATTCAGGACAATCAGTTGTTTTGATGACATCTTCCATGAACCGGAAATCCAGATCATTGGCTTTATTTTCTGATACTGTTTCATATCTGGACAAGTCTGGGATTTGCTGGTCAGCTTATCTTGGTGTATCAGGCATAAGAGGTTGCTTTTCTCCAGCATATTGATTGAGTTCCAGTGTGTCATTGGCGTCGTTATAATCATGTTCATGATTACGCCCATTACGTGTCAAACGAGGTCAGGTGTCTTTGTTGGCATCATCTTTTGAGGAAGGCTGAGTTACTATCATTGCTAATGAATGTGTTGATAGTTTGCCATTTGGTGAGTGAATTTCCATGTCAAAGTTGTCCACAGTGACGTGAACAAATCCATCCTCATGACTTCTAATGCCTTGAGTGTTTGGTTGCTTAGTACTGTAGCAGCAACAGCAGCAGACTTTCAGAACAATTTTACTTCATCATAGCTGCAAGTTACACCATAGTCATGCAGACAACTCAGCTGAGTTTTGGAATCTTTAAAGAGAACCCCCAATGGCCACTTGAAGATCGGTGGGTTGACTTCTGACAGCTGATGTGACCATGTTGCCGGTCAGTAGAACAGGCATTGAATGCTTCAACTTTGAGGAAACTGCAGCCAGTAGATCCATCAAAGGGGGAGATGTTGTCTCTTGTACTGTGTTGCTGCCAAGATTGAGGGTGTATGTTGATTTGTCTAGGTGTACAGATTTGCATTCTGTGATGATTTGTTTGGCTATTCTATTAATACTTGGCTTGACCTTATCCTCTTCATTTTGATCTTTCACTACCTTTAACAGCTTTGCAGCTTGACTATGAAAGGTTATATGTGAATATCCAAGGGATGGCAGAATAAGGACCTTACTGCCAGAATGATCTAATACAGTAGTGCAGCATTAACTAATTGTGACCGGGATAGTATTGATCCTCCATGATTTTGATACTCTTTGTAGAGATCAGTGGAGTTCCAGAGCCTCGTTTTATCATGAGACAGAACATAGATGGTGTATTGGAAGGCCTGGTATTCATTCTCTTGGAGACCTGAAGTTAATGGACCACATTCTGGCCTTTTCTGGCCTGGCAGTGACTTGTTCCCAAATAAAGTAGTCGTGCAATATTTGTGATAGCATGCCTGAGCTGCATGCAAATTACTTATAGTGCCCTCAATGCGAATGTGAACATCCTGCGCCCACTGTGCACTTGTTGATAACCTGTTTGAAGGATAGGGATTCATTTCGGATCTTTGTTGAGCACTGTCTACATTCTTCTCCAAAATACAAACATTGTAAGAAGAAATCATAGGGAGAGATTGAATGATGGAAGCGGTTAGAAGGTGGATTGGGTGTTGACTCAGTTTTCTGGACATGATTTGTGTTGGATTTGGAAGTGTATATTGATACACAGTTTTTGTGGTAATGTATTGTCAGATCCCCTTCAGATTATAGAATGTACC